GTGTTCAGTGCAGATCAGTGAGTAAGCACAAGCCAAGTAAAAGGTCATTAAAAAGAAAGTAAGAAAAGATCAAAATGGTTGTCAGAAGAGACTGAAACTTGTTCTTGAGTGGAGAGTAGCTAAAGTGAATAGAAGAAATGATGAAATTAAAGAGCTGAACAGATTTCAAATGACAGCTCAAGAAGACAAAGTAAAGTATTATAATGAAATGTGCAAAGACTTGGAATTAGAAAATCAAAAGGGAAGAACCCATTTAGCTTTTCTTAAGCTGAGAGAACTGAAGGAAAAATTCAAGCCTCAAGTTGCAATATTGGATTCTATGGGCCAAATACTGATGCATTGTAAGAATATGGAAGAAATACACAGAGTCATTGTAATTAGTTGACGTTCAACCATTTCAGGAGGTAGCATATGATCAAGAACTGATGGTAGTCAAAGAAGTCCAAGGTGCACTGGAGCCATTGACAGAAAACAAGGCTCAAGTAGTTGATGGACTATCTATTGAGATGTTTCAACAAATGGATGCAGCACTGGAGGTGCACATTAATTTATACCAAGAAATTTGGAAGACAGCTACCTGGCCAACCAACTGGAAGAGATGCATATTTCTGCCCAATCCAAAGAAAGGTGATCCAACAGAATGCAGAAATTATCAAAAAATACCATTTTTTCACATGCAACTAAAATTTCACTGAAGATAATTTAAAAATGTTTTCTGCAGCATATTGACAGGGAACTTCCAGAAATTCAATCCAGATTCAGAAGAATACATAGAATGATGGATATCATTGCTGATGTCAGATGGATCTTGGCTGAAAGTATCAGACAAATATTTCCTTGTGCTTTATTCATTATGCATAAGCATTCGACGGTGTGAATCATAGCAAAGTATTGTGATAACATTGAGAAGAATGGGAATTCCAGAATACTTAATTGTGCTCATGGGGAACCTGTACATAGATGAAGAGGCAATCATTCAAACAGAATAAATAAACAGTTTAAAATCAGGAAGGGTGTGCACCAGGGTTTTATTCTTTCACCATACTTATTCAAGCTGTATGCTGAGCAAATAATCTGAAAAGCTGAACTATATGAAGAAGAACATGGAATCAGGATTGGAGGAAGACTCATTAGCAACCTGTGATCTGCAGATCACACAGCCTTGCTTGCTGTATGTAAAGATGACTTGAAGTACTAACTGTTAAGATCAAAGACTACAACCTTCAGTATGGATTACACCTCAACATAAAGAAAACGAAAATCCTTACAACTGGACCAATAAGCAACATCAAGAGAAATGGAGAAAATATTGGAGTTGTCGAGGATTTCATTTTAGTTGGATACACAATTGAAACCCATGGAAGCAGCAGTCAACAAATCAGACATCATATGGCACTGGGAAAACCTGCTGTAAAAGAAGTGTTTAAAGTGTTGAAGAGCAAAGATGTTACTTTGAAGGCTAAGGTGGGCCTGACCCAAACAAAGGCATTTCCGATAGCCCCATATGCATATGAAAGCTGGACAATGAATAAGGAAGACCGAAGAAGAGTTGATGTAGGTGAATTTTGGTGTTGGTGAAGAATATGGAAAATACCATGGATTGCCAGAAGAACTAACAAATGTGTCCTGGAAGAAGTGCAGCCGAATGTGCCTTAGAAGTGTGAATGGCCAGACTTTGTCTAACCTATTTTGGTCATGTTGTCAGAAGGGACCAGTCCCTGGAGAAGGATATCATGCTGGGTAACATAGAGTGTCAGTAAAGAGGGAAGACTCTCAATGAGATATATTGACACAGTGGCTCTGATGATGGGCTCAAGTATGGCAGCGATTGTGAGAATGGTGTAGGACTGGGCAGTGTTTTGTTCTGTTGTCTATAACGTTGCTGTGAGTTGGAACCTCCTAACAACAACACAAGGTTTAGAAACCCTTCATAGACTGTGCTGTTACACATGATGAATGAGGGTGAAGACGAAGTGATTGGAAAAGATAAGGAACATTTGCTACTCCTCATAGCAAAGAGATAAGTGCTAATTATGAAAGGATACAAAAGAATGGTGAAGAAGAAAGATGTGCAGGTTATTGTTGATCAAGAGAGAATATTATTACCCCTACCATTTTCTATCAGCTACTTGACATTTCTGGTACTTGATAGTATTTTTAGGGAGTTGGGGGAGAATAGTATTGTTTTAAAAATAGATGATCTATACTTTTCTGGATGAAAATATCCTCTAAATCATTTATTTCTGTCCTTAGGAAGATAAGACTCGTCCCTTTATCACATCCAGTCCTACAAATGGGGTCGAATCTGTTGCAGAAGGCTGGGTTTCTGAAAACCCTTATGATACACATTTTGGTGATGTCCATTTTTACGATTACATCAGTGATTGCTGGAATTGGAATATTTTCCCTAAAGCTCGATTTGTATCTGAATATGGATATCAATCCTGGCCTTCCTTCAGTACACTGGAAAAGGTAAGCCATCTTGATTTTCCAACTCTTCTCCTCCTCTTTTCTGTCTTTGTCTTCTCTTCTTCTAGTGCATCTGATTTTCTGTATGACTTTTCACTTTCTTTGCTCCTAAATAGGAGCCCCAGTGGCACTGTGGTTAAAGCATTGGGCTGCTAATAAAAAGGTTGGTGGTTCAAACCCACTAGCTGCTCCATGGGAGAAAGATAAAGCAGTCTGCTTCTATAAAGATTTACAGCCTTGTAAACCATCTGTGACAGTTCTATTCTGCCCTCTTAGGTTGCTATGAATCAGAATTGACTCATGGCATTGGGTTTGATTTTGGTTTCATTCCTAAATATTTCAATTTCATAATTAGGTGCAGTTTCACAGTTGTATATGTATCCTTTTAAAAAACAGGTTTATTGAATATAATTTTATACCATCTGATTTGCCCATTAACGTGTACAATTCAGTGGAGTTTAGTACATTCACAGAGTTTTGCAACCATCACTACAATCCAATTTTAGAACATTTTTATCACCCAAAAAGAAACCCTTTACACTTTAGCAGTCACTGCCCCATTCTTCCCCACCCACTAACCCAGTCCTAGGCAATCACTACTCTCCTTTCTGTCTCTATGGATTTGCCTTTTCTGGAAGTTTTGTTTTAAGGAAATCATACAATATGTGGTTTGTTGTGACTGGCTTACTTCACTTAGCATATTTTCAATGTCCATCCATGTTGTAGCATGTATCCATATTCATTCTTTTTATTGATATTACAGATACTACATTTGATATTATAAATATTGATATTACAAATATTATATTTTTTGGATTTCCCCCATTTTGTTTATTCATTCATCATTTAGTGGACATTTGGATTATTTTTACTTTTTGGTCATTGTGAGTAATGTGGCTGTGAACACTCATGTGCAAGTTTTTGATTGAACATATGTTTTCATTACTTGTGGGTATAAATACCTAGGAGTGGAATTGCTGGATCATATGGTAACTCTGTTTAACTTTTTGAAGAACTGCCAAACTGTTTTCCACAGTGGCTGCACCATTTTACATTCCCACCAGTAATGTATGAGGGTTCCAATTTATACACATTCTCTCCAACACTTAAATATTTTCCATCTTTTAGATTATAGCCATCTTAGTGCATGTGATGTGGTTTTGATTTGCATTTCCCTAGTGTAAAGATTTGAACATATTTTCATGTGTTTATTGGCCATTTATATATCTTTCATGGGAAAATGTCTATTCAGATCCTTTGCCCATTTAAGAATTGAGTTATTTGTATTTTATTGTAGAATTACAAGAATTATATAAATTCTGGATAAAGTTATTTATCAGATATATGATTTGCCATTTTTTCTCCCATTTTGTGGATTGTCTTTTAATTCCTTGATTGTGTCAGTTAAAGCACAAAGTTTTAAATTTTGATTTAGTCCGAGTTATCAATCTTCTCTTTTTCTCTTGTGCTTTTGGTGTCATCTTTAAGAAATCATTGCCTAATCCAAGCACACAAAGATTTACTTCTTTGTTTTCTGTAAGTGTTTGATAGTATTGACTTTTATAATTAGATCTATGATCCACTTTGTGTTAATTTTTGTATATGATATAAGATCTGTGTTGCAATGAATTAGTTATTATGGCCCTTCTAGTCATAGTTTTGTGAACTTTGCTTGCTGAAAGTGAAGATGACTTGAAGCACTTACTGATGAAGATTAAAAACTACAGTCTTTAATTTACACTTCAATGTAAAGAAAATGAAAATCCTCACAATTCACTCAATAAGTAGCGTTACAATAAATGGAGAAAAGATTGAAGTTGTCAAAGATTTCATATGATTTGGTTCCACAATCAACACTAATGGAAGCAACAGTCAAGAAATCACATGATGTATTGCATTGGGCAAATCTGCTGCAAAAGACCTCTTTAAAGTGCTGAAGGGCAAAAATGTCTCTTTGAAGAATATGGTGTGCCTAACCCAAGTCATGGTATTTTCTGTTGCCACATATACATGTGAAAGCTGGACAATGAGTAAGGAAGACCAAAGAAGAGTTGATGTTTTTGAGTTGTGGTGTTGGCAAACAATATTGAAAGTACCATGGACTGCCAGAAGAATGAACAAATCTGTCCTCTAAGAAGTGCTGCCAGAATGTTCATTGGAAGCAAGACTGGCCAGACATGGTTTCATCTACTTTGGTCATGTTGTTAGAAGGGACCATTCCCCGCAGAAACCTATCATTCTAGATAAAGCGGAGGGTCATTGAAAAAGAGGAGGTCCCTCAACAAGATGGATTGACACAGTGGCTGCAATGATGGGCTCAGGTATACCAGGGATTGTGAAGCTGGCACAGGACTGGGTAGTGTTTCATTCTGTTGTACATAGGGTCACTATGAGTCAGAGCCAACTCAACAGCACCTAACAACAACAGTCGTGGTCTTGTGACTCTCATAAAATGATTGGATGAGACTGTGCAAATAAGGTGCTTGTGACCCATCAAGGGAATTGGATAGCTTGTTAATAATGCAGATAAGGTGCATGGAACCCTTGTGGAGTGGGACCATACAAATAAGGAGTATGGAACACTGTTAACAAGGGGATTGGTCAGTTTTACCATCCCTCTAAGCTTAAAGGGAGCCAATCCCAGAAGCAGAAAGAGGGGACCTCAATTCTATCAAGAAGAAGAGCAGGAGTGGACTGTGTCTTTTGAACCTGGGGTTCATGTGCTAAGAATCTCCTAGACCCAGGAGATAAAGAGAGAACACCCAGGACAAGGAAAAGTAGCAGCTGAGAAATGGTGACAGAAGAAACAGGAGACTGGCATGCTATAGTATGGTGGGCCATCCACGCCAAAAGAGGGAGGCCTTTCTAGTGTGCATTCTTACTCATGGACGAGAGTGCTTGAATGCCTTTGAGCAGGCAGCTTGCTGGTGGAATAGGAAGCCTTCACGTACTTATTGGACAAGCTAAAGAGCTCTGTAACTCTTGCTTGAGCAGAGCAGAAGCCAGGGCAATGGGCTGAGGGACAGGCCTGCCCATGGGCACAGCCAAGAAGAAACTGTCCTGATTGAAGAAATACATCCTGAGTTGTTGCTGTTACTTCCAAGTTGATCCTGATCCTGAATTCCCTTAACTGTGAGTATGATCTGTGAGTTCTGTGTGTTCACTATAATGAATTTTCAAATCTAGCAGAAAAATAGAGAATGAAATGGAAGGGATGCTGGTATCAGAACTGGTAAAAGGATTGGAGGGTGTCTGACCTCCACCTCATAGGAATCAGCCTTGGGCTGATGCTGATCTTGATTCTTTCTCCCCCTCTGAAGTTAGATGAAATCTGATGCCATCATACCATTTTTAGTGTCCAAATTCATTCTTTTGTGTGTGGGTATCCAGTTGTCTTATCACAATTTGTTGTAAAGAATATTCATTCTTTATTGAATTCTCTTGGCCTCTTTTCTGAAAATCAAATTACTATGAATGTCAGAGTTTATTTTTAGACTCTTAGTTCTATTCCATTGATCTAAATGTCAAAACCTTATTCCAGTACATACTGTTTTTTCACTATAGCTTGCAATAAACTTTGAAGTCAGAAAGTGTGAGTCTACCATCTTTGTTTATTTTAAGATTATTTTGGGTCCTTTGCATTTCCATGCAAATTTTAGTATTAGTTTGTCCATTCTTCAAAAAAGGCAGTTGAAATTTTGATAGAAATTATATAGACACTGTAGATTAATTTGGGAAATATTGCCATCTTCACAATGCTAAGTTACTGATTCATGAACACGGGATGATTTCTTTCCTCAATGTTTCCAGTTACAAGTCTTGCACTTCTTTTGGTAAATTTATTTTAAGAATTTTATTCTTTATGATGCTCTTGTAATGGAGTTGTTTTCTTAATTTCATTTCTAGATTGTTCATTGCTATTGTACAGAAATGTTGTTGTTGTTGTTAGGTGCTGTCAAATCATCTCTGACTCATAGTGACTAAATGTACAGCAGAATGAAACACGACCCAGTCCTGTGCCAGCCCCATGATCTTTGCTATACCTGAGCCCATTGTTGCAGCCACTGTGTCAATCCATCTTATTGAGGGCCTTCCCCTTTTTTGTTGTCCCTCCACTTTGCCAAGCATGATATCCTTCTCCAGGGAATGATCCCTTCTTATAGCATGACCAAAGTAGGGGAGACAAAGTCTGGCCATTCTCGCTTCCAAGGAACATTCTGGCTGCACTTCTTCCAGGACAGATTTATTAGTTCTTTTAACAGTCCATGGTGTTTTTAGCATTCTTTGCCAACATCACAACTCAAAAGCATCAACTCTTCTTTGGTCTTCCTTCTTCATTGCCCAGCTCTCACATGCATATGAGGTGATTGAAAATACCATGGCTTGTGTCAAGAGCACCTTAGTCTTCAAGGAAACATCTTTGCTCTTCAGCACTTGAAAGAGGTCCTTTGCAGCAGATTTGCCCAATGCTATATGATGTCTGACATCTTGACTGCTGCTTCCATTGGTGTTGATTGTAGAACCAAGCAATATGAAGTCTTTGACAACTTCAATCTTTTCCCCATCTTTATCATGATGCTGTTTCTTGGGGCCCATTGTGAGGATTTTTGTTTTCTTTATGTTGAGATGTAATCCATATTGAAGACTGTAGTCTTCAATCTTCATTAGTAAGTGTTTCAAGTCTTCCTCGCTTTCAGCGAGCAAAGTTGTGTCATCTGCATAACCTAGTTGTTAATGAGACTTCCTCCAATCCTGATGCCATGTTCTTCTTTGTATAGTCCAGCTTCTGGGATTATTTGTTCAGCTTACAGATTGAATAAGTATGGTGAAAGGTTACAATCCTGACGCACTCCCTTCTTGATTTTAAACCACATAGTGTCCCCTTGTTCTGTTTGAACAACAGCCTTCTGGTCTGTGTACAAGTTCCTCATTAGCACAACAACTAAGTATTCTGGAATTCCCATTTCTCAACATTATCTACAATTTGTTATGATCCACACAAT